TTACATAAAATAGCCCAGAACAATATTCAGAAAAGCCGAAACAAACCACACACCTAAGCCTCATGGAAATGAGGCATAAAACTTGACAAATGTGTCATGGCTCGCTCAACTCACCACACTACCACTCAAACCATTACAAATGCATTCTAGAATATTCTACAGCCTACTCTATAAATTGAGCACGTGAAGGGAGGATGAAAAAAGGGTTGAAGATTGTTAGTTTGGTGAAAACCGAAATTCCCCCCTTTCTTCTCTCTATCTCTAAATCTATGTTTTTCTTCTTCTCTTCATTTCTCTGAGTCTGTTTCTCTCCCTCTTTCTATTTCTCTAATCTGGGTTCCTCTGATTTTCTGCATCCCCCCCCCCCCCCTTCTTTTCTGTTTACATTTAACTATTTTATTGTAATTTTGTTTCAATTAATAGAATTACAGCTAGGGTTATTGATTCCCAGCTCATGACTTCAGTTGAGTGTTGATTTTGAGTTGAATTTATTTCGTTTTGGTTGAAGTTGAGCTCCAACCATAACAAAATGGAACTAAAGGCATAAGCTTCAAGGCATTTCTAACGTCCAGGAATCAAACGTAAGCCTCAAACAACTTTTTAAGCATTGATATCGTATGGAATGTGTCGAGTAAACGGTTTTTCAAATTGAAATTTTGTTGAATGGTTTTTCTTTATCTACCATTATCAATCAAACTAGCACATATCAGTACTCATAATACAGTAACAAAAATTTCTTACATTATCTACAACATCAATCTCTGCAAGTTTTATTTTCCTTCAACTCATTATAACAGCAGCAAACTGTCGAAAAGAAACTTGCTTAAAATGTATAATTCACAAACCAAACAGGGTAAAGAATCCAATCTAGCATTTATCTCGATTATTCGAAAACAAATTCATTCATTTCCTGATGCTGAAAAATTATCCACAAAAGATCAACTGGCAGCTTTTCCTTTGGTTCTTCTACAAGCCTTTCCTTTTTTTTTATTTTTTTCTAAAATGTAATATACGCAAAGTAATTGGGAATTTAATATATATAAGCCAAGACCGGATGCATATCATAATGAGCTAAATTAAACTTGAAGAGTACTCGCCTTTTCCATCAGTGGTCGGCGACGGTGGAAGCGAAATCTGGCAAATGCAAATCAAAATTCAGTACCAAAAAACCCTAGTAGAAAATGGTTGGATTTTTGCTGCTACGAAACAAGCCGGGCCCGAATGGGCCGAGTCGTCAAGGTCATCCTGGGCCTCATTGAAACTTCGGGCTTGAATTTCTTATGTAATCAGCCCGGCTCGACCCACTTTACTTCCTCCTCCTCCTTCCTTTTTGACCTTCCATTTTTGTCTATTCTTTCCCTCCAGCTAGATTTATCCTCGCACTGTGAACGCGTGTTCTATCGTATATTTTGGCAATGTTTGGTGACATTCTTTATAAAAATATATAAAAAAAAAGTTTTGTGTAATGTTGTAGGAGAATGAATGGTCAAAAAATAGGGAAACAATTTTGAATTTATGTGCATAATAATTAATTGTGTAACTATGCGATTAAAAGTGATTTGTAGAAAAAAGAGTTTGGAACGAACGGAAATGGCTCATTTTTCAAAATAAATAATTAAAAAAGTGATTTTTTAATTAATTTATTTGAAATTTATTTGTATTTTGTTTGAAAAATTTGGGAATATAATTGAAATTTGTTCTTTATTTTTCTTTTCTTTATTTTTGTTTATTTAAAGAGGAGGGTATATTTATCATTTTTCAATTTTTAATTAAGAAAATAAATGAA